AAAGAAGGTGCCTTTACATTTCGAGCATCTCGGATTTCCTTTATGACGTAGGTCGGTACGAACGATTTTTATAATTGATTTTCTCGGAAATGGTGTTGTTTAGAGAAAAAAGTGATTTTACATAAAGTGTTTGAAATTACATCATGCAGGGCCGGATTCACCTACTTGCCGCCCATGGGCCGCCTGTATTTTGCCGCCCCCTTCTCATTCGTTTTGAAACATCAATAAAAACCACGAGGTGAACGTGCAGCGAGGAGGGGTGCATAAGACGCGTTAACTTGTGTTGGACACATTTTTTGCGAAGTCCTGTCAACATTACCAGCAAAAGTTCACCGAACTTTGCGCGAAAGTTAAGTTCCGTGAACCTCTCTCTATGTGAACAAGGCCTTCCATTTATAAGAAATGAACGAAAAAATTATGAAAGAACTAACTGACCGTACTGTGTTTGACGCAATGCGTGAAGCATTCCTACAGTCAAATAGGCGCTGTGCGTTTCACACCGACCGCTTTAGGACGCACTGTGTTTGACGCAATGCCTGAAGTATTCATGCAGTCTTGTAGGCGCTATGCGTTTCACGCCGCGCCGACCGCTGATGACCGCACTGTGTTTGACGCAATGCGTGAAGTATTCATGCGGTCTTGCAGGCGCTATGCGTTTCATGCCGACCGCCGCGCCGCGCCGCTTCGTTCCAGCTTAAATTGCGTGTTTGGTTTCTCTCTTAACTCGACTAATTAAAGGTGTTGTCTCTTGTATCACCGAAAGACGACAAAATTAGAAATTACTATACTTTTACTCTCAGAAAATGAGATTTTGTCGCCTTTTCTCATTTGTAATTTATTTTCTGAATCCGATTTTTTTCTCTCTTTTTTTGATACATACATTAAAAAAATTTCAAAATTTGCCGCCCCCTAAATTTTCCGCCATGGGCCGCGGCCCACGTGACCATCCCCTAAATCCAGCCCTGACATCATGAGTTGATTAAGCAAACAAATTGGACGTTATGGTCCGTTTTTCACACTGCAAATTCCGGATTTTGCAGGAACAATTGAACCGACCTACGTTACGGGGTAGACAATCCTCGAAACACCTCCCTTTTTTTTCTCTACGTCTAAAACGATATGTTTCTATCTCTAACTGCCCTGAAAGTTTACCTACTCCTGGATCCCAATTTTCTGGGTTCAAGAAAATGAGCCTCCTTGGGTCCAGGGGCAGGAGGTGGGGGGAGGGGGCTGATTTCCCTAAAGAGATATTATATGTATCTCATAAATGGGCAACTTTCGGCAATGTTGGTCGATTTTGGGCTCTTTTAGTCTCAGTCCCTCTCCTCAAGACGAACTTTACCTTCTCTAAAGAAATTCTATCCCCCCCCCCACGGTTTACCTAAAATGTCGCCCCTAATTCCGCAGTTGGCGAAGTGGGTCTAGACCCTATCAACGATAAATCGCACTGCCTGTCGGTGGAAATGCAACTCAAGAAAGGTTATTTTCTTTTTGCCTTGAGAGGAGGAATCGCACTTTTCTGTTTCTCGAAGGCACATAAGTGAGATTTTCGAATTTTGCCCCGATATAAGAGGAAGGGGCGGTCTCGCTCAGAAGTCTTAAACACCCTCCATTCCAGCAAGAGCATTCCAGTGTCGCTAACCTTGCAAACATAAACGATCATCTAAACTAGTTTCACCTCTACTCCCAATAAACTATGAATTCAAGACGAAAATTACCGTCGCAAAGTTTACTTTTTGCAAAGAATGTGCCTAAGTTGCACAATCCTAGCAATCCTAGCAACATTGAAATGCTCTTAGTTCCTTTTTGCAAAATGCGATCCAATTGGTTGTTGCTGCAAAAAAATAGTTTCCCCACAACCTGCTATACAATGCTCCAGTGACCATGTAAGTTGGCCCGAGCACTAACTTTTCGGGAAGAAAGCCTTTCCCCTACTTGGTTTCTCACTTAATATCCGCCCGAGTTTCGCATATCCTCCGTTTCTCCTCATCGCAGCTTCCATCAAACCGCAATTGCCCGGAAACTAGGATCGCACATCTTATCTGATAAAATCTTTCGCCCTTTAGACCGATTCTGGAGGGTTAGGCTAGACTAGTCGATGAGTCAACTGTTGATCTAATTTCATTACGTGAACGTAGAAGAAAAACGGGGTAAAAAATCACTAATGTGTGATCAATTTTCAAGGACAATTCTGTAATTTCTCCTACGATTTTAAATAGATTAAAACGCATAATATCCAAAATATAAGCTCAGATTCGGATTCCTCGTGAAAAACTGATGCGATTTCATGCATCAAATTTTAGAATAGCGTGAAGGAAAGAGGTTTAATGACGTAAAAAAACACTAATGTGTGATCAATTTTCAAGGACAATTCTGTAATTTCTCCTACGATTTTAAATGGATTAAAACGCGTAATATCCAAAATCTAAGCTCAGATTCGGATTTCTCGTGAAAAATTGATGAGATTTAATGCATCATATGTTAGAATAGCGTGAAGGAAAGAGGTTTAATGAGGTACTTAAAAAAACACTAATGTGTGATTAATTTTCAAGGACAATTCTGTAATTTCTCCTACGATTTTAAATAGACTAAAACGCGTAATATCCAAAATTTAAGCTCAGATTCGGATTTCTCGTAAAAAATTGATGAGATTTCATGTATCACATGTTAAATAGCATGAAGGAAAAAGGTTTAACGACGCGTATAGATTCTGTCGTACTTCCTCTTTGAACTACGCCGCCGCCTGTCGCCCGAGTGAAACCGAACGGGGAGGCGCCATTTAGCGCCGGCTAAGCGTTCGGTTTCGTCGCGAGGAATTTCTCACGATAAATTCTTATTCTTCCTCCTCCGCTGACCCACTGAGCACTACCCATGTTGCCACGTTGCATTCATATGCTCGAATCAGTATGTCTACGTTACGTCTCTTTCCTTCACACTATGCTCGGGTATGATACATGAAATTGTATCAATTTTTAACGAGGAATCCGAATCTGAACTTCGATTTTGGGTATCACGCGTTTTAAGTCAAATTTTCCACATTTGAAAATCTGAAAATGACTGACGTGGCTTAAAATGCTATCCCGGCTCCTGTTCGATGGATTTTCCTGAAATTCGGTGTCAGGGTATGATACATGAAATCACATCGATTTTTTACGAGGAATCCGAATCTGAGCATCTATTTTGGGGATAACGCGTTTTAAATCAAAATCTGTCAAAATTCAAAAAATTCAAAATTCGAAAATCCGAAATGGCTTAAAATGTTATCTCGGCCCCTGTTCGATGGATTTTTCTGAAATTCGGTGTCAGGAGGTATTTTTCGACAGGAAATTCGAATTTTTAGTCTATTTTTTAAAATTCTCAAATTCAAGATAGCGGACGTGGGCTAAAATGCTATCTCGGTTTCTGTTTGTTCGAGTCTTGTGAAACGCGGTATCACACGGTATTTTTCAACGGAAAACTCGAATTTTTAGTCAACTTTTTAACATTTTCAACTCCAAAATGTTGGATGTGGCCTAAAATGAGCCCCGGTTTTGGCCTCCGTTTCTGTTCGTTAGAGCTTTGTGAACCGCGGAATCTGGGGTACTTTTCGACGGGAAACTCGAATTTTTAGTCGATTTTTGAAAATTCTCAAATCTAAGATGGCGGACGTGGCCTAAAATGCTAAGTCGGCTCCTGTTCGATGGATTTATGGCGCCCCCTTACTACATGCCTACTCTTGTATTTCTGTACAGCCGCAAATTTAGGGTCAAGGGGCGCCTGACCGTCTATGGACCAGGTGGAGTTTTTGTCCTGAAAATTTACCTTTAGACGGCAATTCTCTTTATATTTTGTCTATGGTTTTTATGCCCCCCCCCCTTCTCGCGGACTCTATTTTCACTTTTCTTGTCTCCTTTTTCCTTCCATTTCCCCCCTTCTTCCTTGCTTTCACTGCCCAACCTTGTTTCCTTTTCCTTGTTTCCCCTTGTCCTTTCTTCCCTTTTTTCCCTTTTCCTTTTCCCCCTTTTTTCCCTCTCTTCTTCTCTCGTGGCGCCCCCCACAGGCTGGCGCCCGTGTGCGCCGCACGCCCTGCACACGCCCTAAGTCCGGGCCTGCATTCCACTCGTCCCACCCTGCACAATCAGGTGGGAAGTTGTATCCTAGGTATGTCTGCATCCAAAAGATTAAAAAACGCATAAGAGGACCCTATCGACGGTGTTAGTTCGCAACCACGCACATCGGTTTGCGACGTCGCAGACTTCCTGTCATACTTTATTTTTTAAACGGGAAACTACTCACCGGCAATTTCTTAACACTGCCGTGATTTTTCTTCTCTGTGCGAGGAAAATTCTGCAAAAACTTCAATGAATGATGTCACTTTGTTCTCCTTTTAAAAAAATAATATAGTGGCGGAGATTTTCAAATACTGCAAACGAAATATCGACGGTGAAACTACCAAACCACGTATCTCGGTTTGCGACGTCGCAGACTTCCTGTCATACTTTATTTTTTAAATGAAAAACTATTCCACGTCCAGTCTTGAAAATTTCTGTGATTTTTCCTCTTCGCGCGGAGAAAATTCTGTGAAAATTTCAAGGAATGATATTGATTTGGTCTACTTCCAAAAAATAAAATGTGAGCGTAGATTTTTAAACACCGCAAACGAGATACGTGGTTTGGTAGTTTCACCGTCGATATGTGGTTTGGGGACGTTTACGCCGTCGTTACGGAAAAAACTATGTATACCTAGGGAGAGGAAAGTTGGAAATCGACGTGTCCTGACCAAACCATGGCCAAACCCGCACCCGCAAGCACCGAGTACCGAGGCGAAAAGCTGTACCAGCACACTCACGAGTCACGAAAGCTGTAAAACATGAAGTTCCTAAAAAGCTCAGAAGACAGCAGCACGGAGCATGAAGTTTATTCACTCCTAATCTATGATTGGTCAAAAGTTAGCACTCGTGGTTGTTTTGGAACTCATCTCTGATTGGTCGATATACCGGTGTTGATGACGTTTGCAAATCGTTCCTAACCTAAAATCTAGTATGGAAGTTTTTATCAAAGTTTGAAGTGAATGATTGTACCGCAATTTTTTTTTTTAATTTTTGAAGGAGAATATTACTGTCAGTGACTCAAAAATGGACATTACAAACTTTATCATAAACCAGGCCAAAGAGACTTTAACGGAGGCAGAACCCGCCGAAGATGTCAATCCAAATAAAAAAGTTCCTGCTTCACCCGAAGGAATGGCCATAGCTTATGTCAGTCTACTCATTATGGCAATATTCCCTATATTCTTTGGATCTTTCAGGTCCGTCAAACATCACGAATCTAAAAAGGTAAATGTGGTCAATTTTTTCTCACCTGCCTCTGTAGGATTAAAAATTATTACAGGCCTAACTCATTGATGACTTTTCAGAGATGACGGAAGCAGTCACCTTATGGTTCACCCGCATTTGTCTTTGTAGCACTTGTACACAATCCATCCAGTGGATTTACATTCTTTCTAATAAACTCTTTATCATGCAGAGAGGAATTGGTACTTTTCTCATTTGATGCTCTGTTTCATGCCACATCTGAACGCTGTTGGTATCAGAGACGGACTGCACAATTGGACCGCGTTAAACAGAATGGAACCAAGCCACATCAGCTATCGCCAAATTTAATTGGGTGATTTAATTTTATACATGAAAACTGTGGTGCGGATTTGTGTGCTAATTTCAGTGAATTTTCTCCATGGTGCGAGGCAAATTCCTCAAAATTTTCAAAGAAATCCGCACGAACGTTCTGTCGTTAAAGATTAAACTGCCCAATTAAATTTGGCAATAGCTGATGTGGCTTGGTTCCTTTCTGTTAAACGCGGTCCAATTGTCTCGATCAATATCTTTACCGAGCGTATTGTTACATTAAATGTTCGCAGCAGCACAGTTGATGACATTTTCTGCATCACTGGAATTCTCTTCATACCTACTTTAAGCATTTAAAGCATACATTAACTCTTCAGTTTACCTGATGAGGTGGATCAAGTTGTCAAACCTCAGTTACTCATTCTCCGGTTTAATAAGTCATTAAGCTTGTACATATGTTTTGTTTTATTCAGCAAGCAATTAGTCTTTTTCCCTGGCCTTCCAGTGTGTTTATGTAATTATCAAGAATTGAAGATTGCATCCAAGTAGTCAGCAGTCTTTGTGGAAGGGAGAGTAGACGTATTTCAATGGTTTTTACTTTAGCTTGAAATGAAGTAATCAAGACATCCTTTATCTAATCTTGGTCCCAAAGTTAAACAATTTTTTTGAAGCAATATTTAACGATTGTCAAGCTGATTAATACTGTTAATCACCTCAGGGAGGCTTCATGAGAAATCATGCAATGTCCTGGAGTTTTTATCAGAACTTTCCTGAAATTGTGATTCAATATTCCGATACTCTTAGGCACGGTAAAGAAGGGAACTTGCTGTAGAACTGTAAAGGTTTATTTCACAGCCTCTCTTGGATATGTAAATGGCTGTGAAAAAAGGCAAGCTAGAGAGGTGTGAAGAGGAAGAGAAATTCAACAGAATCACACCATGATGCCCGGCGAATGGGATGATGATTTTCATCTAGCTAGTTAATCTAGATATTTTTTAATTTAATAATTCCAAATCCTTTGAATCTTCAAATTATTTTCATAATTTTTTTTATAGCATCCAACAAAAATTATTTCCATTTCAAGCTAATCAAACATTACCTGAACAGATGATGAGTGTCAGCTGTTATAGTTATTGTAACCATGTAACCTAAGAAGCAAATCTTGGAAACTGTTAGCAACCAAATGACCAATGATTATCAATCAATGGTATTTTGTACCGCTGACTTCATTATTTCAATAAATCATGTTACCTGGTACCTAATGTAATGTTCATCAAATCTTATTCTCTCATCACCTGCTTATTACTCTAGTCTCAAAATTTCTGTAAAGTATTTTGCATGAATTACCCCTGTTTTTCTTTTGGGGGTTACCAATTTTAAGTCTCAAAATTTTAAAAAATCTCTTAAAACATTTTTCGGCCGTTTAGAAAATTTTAATTTTCTCCTGTCATCATTCCTCTGAGGTTGGCTTATCTCTGTCCAAAATGTTAGTCAGAATCATTTTTGAGATAATTATTTTCATGATCGTTATTCTTTGGTTTTTATCCTTTGCTACTTTTACTTTCGCATTTAGGTATTTTATATTCATAATTTCTATTTTGGTGCATTTAGGCGAGCGGTGAGACTCCAGAACTGATGTCGAAGAAAGATGCTTTGGTTTTCCCTTTGATTGCGAGCGCTGCTCTCTTGGGACTCTATATTTTTTTCAAAGTAAGTTTCCATTTTTGTAATCATTGATAATTGGATGGATTTAACCGGATGAATCAGCCTAACTATCAGGCGATACCTAGTTATCTCTAATGTTACTTATATTTTTCTAGTCATTAATCTGGGATAAATACATGGAAAAACTTAAGGCATTAATCAGATAATTTAGCTCTCTGTTTAAAAGAAAATGAGGAAATAAAAAATTAAAAATAGAAAGAGAGAATTAGTAAATGTCAAATGCAATTAAGTACCGAAGCTGATTCTGTTTGAATCTGCTCAATTCTCTCCTTCTATTTGGACTACATTTTGCAATTAAGAACTAAAATTTCTGGCTCAGTTTAAATACAAGAAAAGTATTATTTTTCTCCCTTTAGACATATGTTTTTTCACAAATGAGCCAGAAAATGTAGTTCCTGATTGCAAAATGTAGTCCTTTTGTCAGTTTTTCATTTGCCAGTCAAATACATTTTTTTCTTCTCATTATCTGCAAATCAAGAACTTTCGTTCGATCCTTTAGTCTTTGGATTTAAACTGTGAGCCTTTATGAATTTATGTAGTAGCTGATTTGTAAACCTGTATTTTAGGCACAAAAAATAAACAAAGAAAGCCTTATGAAATGCCTCGTCTTGTTAAGTTACAACAAAATGTTAATTTAAATTCTATTGGCGCAATGCTGTAACTTCATGTAGACGGATACAAGCAAACCTGTAAATTTGGCTATGGACCTTTGAAGTAAATGAATCAATTATTTCCAAATAGATTTATGTCAATCTCTTTCTTTTTTTCCTGCTTGAGTTAATGACGAAGAATTCTTAACTCCACTCTCCATAATTATAGTTCTTAGTTTCATTTCTATCTTGCCATATCTGATGCTATTTATCATCTGTTTTAATTCTTGTTTCATCTTAATTTTTGTTTCAGATATTTTCTATGGATAATCTAAATGTTCTGATAACAGGGTATTTCTTCTGTCTTGGTGTTTTTGCTCTCTGTCACCTTCTTAGGTAAGATTTTTATCTCTTTTGAGCAAGTTTCTCTATCAGAAGTATCACTCACAAACACTCAGATTTTTGTTGCTGAATATGTAAACTAGGACTTTACCTAGCATAAGGTCTCTTAAGTAGCCATAAATTGAAGACGATTTCAGAAGAGAAAGCCATTATAGTGCAGGTATGCTTGTTGCTCCGAGCAACGGTCATCTGTATAAACGGTAGTGTAGCTAAGATGATTCCTACCTCCTTGTACTAATGAAGCTCTTTAGAAAAAGAATCCGGCCCATATTTTATGAGCCCTTCCCCCGGAACCTTTCTCAATTGAACGACTTCTTGCTAAAAGGAACTATGTGCATAAAGTTTGCTTGCAGCATAGTTCCTTTATAAATATGCTAGCATAAATATGCCTAAATGCAGATGCTACCATACAGTTTTGAGGAATGAATTTTAGATTGGCTTTCTGAAAAGATTTACACCATTAGGGAGTCTCTCAAAATGGCAAAAATTTATTGCAGTTCAAAAATTGGCTGATATTTTGGTGTGATCTAACCATGTGAAAAAGGCAAAAAGTATGGGAAGACGGAAAGTCGCCGAATACCTATACTCCAAAAAATTTCTTGGGATCCATGTATTCAACTGCACAAATATTTGAAAAAAAAAAAAAAGACGCAATTTTTTCTTTTGTACTTTCAAAAATGTTTCGAATTGTTATGATCACAGAATTTTCAAAAATGTTTCAAATTGTTAATGATCACAGAATTTTCAAAAAGGTTCCATACAAAGAAAGATAATTAGAGATAAAAAAAGTAGAAAATTGCGACTTTTTGTTTAGGTCTCCCAAATCTCTTCTGCCTTTCCAAACAAGACCTGTGATTTTTCTCCGTAATTGATCTGCACTTTAATTTTGTATTATAGACAAGTTTTAGTCCCTCATAACATTATCTTTGGTCTGAATAACGATAGTTCAGTTAGAATTCTGTACTACCTTATGCAAAACACATTTGATCATATGCAACCACTCTAAGATGCAAACAGAAAAACATCTTGCATACTGTAACTATTTCTTGTCTTTAAGTTATCATGTCGCAACAAGCTATGCATGCAGCCGTCAAATGCTGTCTGCACTTAATAAGAACAGGTGAGGATTGCAGGAAAATAAATTTAAATCAGGTTGAAGGCCCTTGGAATTTTAGACGCTGAGTGATTAGCAGAGTTGATTGATAGTTCTTTCAACTGCATCACTAAATGTGTGAATTGTTTCCTACCTTGTCTTTATTGGGTTGATGAGCCAGTTTTTAGACGGAGCTAAAATCGAGATTTCTAAGAGGATATCATTTTATTGCATTGTTATTTTTGGTAAGACTTTATTTTGTTTTTTTTCTCTTTTCAGTCCCCTGATTTCTTCATTAGTTCCATCTGGGATTCCTAACACAAGGTTTCAGCTCACGTTTAAGGAGGACGATGAAGATGTAATTGATTATAAATTCTGTGCGCATGATATCGTTTGTCTGCTATGCTGCTCTGCTTTTGGATCTTGGTATATCTTCCAGAAGGTACCAATTATTTTACATTGTGTTATATTTTAATAGTATCTTTCTTATCTTGAATAAATCATATGTATCGTTCGGAGAGAAAACTAAAAATAGGTTTTTTTACATGCAGAATTCCTGACTGATATTTTATGTTTGCGCTCATGCACCAAAAACTCATATTTTCAAGTAGAATTTGCAATTTTTTAAATGTATGTAAGAAACTCCAAATCCTCATAAGATTGAAAAATTTTCAAATTCTAAAAATAGAAAAAAAAAAAAATCTTCTCAATAATTTTTTAAAGAAAAGTGATCCTTAATACCTTTGAAATTAATTTCAGAGCTTTCCATATTAATCAGGAGATTCCCTAAACCCTGGCAAAATGGAGAAAATGTCTACATTAACTGGAAAAAGCTTGTCCCCCAAGGAAAACTTTCTATCCCCTCATTTATCCATTGAGTCAGTTTGCACATTTACACTTTTGTGAAACAACTTTCAAGTAATGAGGAAAACCAATTTATCGATCCCAAGTGAAAAATTTCACTGACTACGTGGTTAAGTGTATTGTGAGTGGATCATGTCCAAAATGCACATTTTCTATAGTCTAAGCCATAAGTTTCCGTGTTTTAATACATTTTTTTTTCTCCTGTTTTAGCATTGGATAGCAAACAATTTAATTGGACTAGCATTCGCAATTAATGGAGTTGAACTACTTCACATTAATAATGTTATGACAAGTTGCATTTTGCTCTGTGGTTTATTCCTGTATGATATATTTTGGGTGTTCGGCACGAATGTGATGGTTACTGTCGCAAGGTCATTCAACGCCCCAATAAAATGTAAGTCACTTTGTTCAATATTACTAGCATGTTAGTTTTAGAATTGTGGACTAAGCCATGAGAGGTGCTCATCAAGTGGTGGCCCTAAGAAGGGCCGTTGGAAAAGGGTGAGCCGGCCGGCTGCATAATGTCCGTTGGGTGCTGTGCAACGTGAATCCCGTGTGACTAACAGGTGCGGAGTGAGCTGAGGGATGAGCTCGCGGCGATATGTAGCCGCGACAGTGTCGAGCTAAAGCCAATGAGCTGTGCTGCTTGGCGGAGTGGTGGCTGGTCGCCACAGAATGTTTAAGTATTCACTGGTGGGAGTATCCTGTTTGTAAGTAAAATAATGAGTTTAATTGTTTAAAGTAAAAGATTTTCTGTGCAGAATTTTCTTGAGAGTCCAAGCCAATTAGTGCACCCACTTTTACACTGTCAGAAGATCCGCCATCTAGATTCTTGCATTTACTTTTGATGCTCAAGTGACCTCAGACGATCATCTGTCGCAGTCTAAAAATTATACTCTTACTTGGGTGGGCTCTATTAATTGAATGATTTTCTATAATGTTTCTTTGATAATGCTCTTTTTAAATGATCTACCATCAGTTAGATGAATTTACGCAGAATCAGTTTAACTGTAAGAGATGTTGCCTAGTTTTCTCTGATGTTTTATTTTTAAACAGAAAGCTATTCAACACTGAAACCTGAAATTTTGTAAGTATATTCTTCATAATCTACGGTAATTTTGTACACCTTGGACTGTTACCGGTGCTTGCATAGGTGGTTATTCCATACACCCGTCAGTCAGTCTGACTTCACTGCATTAATAGTGGATTCTTTAGCCGAGTAATCAAGGGATCAACTCGCCATCAATAACAGGGATACCCAAAGGTACAAAAATTAGAACAGACCAATGGGGGAATAACCACCCACACGCGTATAGGTGGTTATTCGTCCCATGGCCTCAATTTACAAAGGCCCTTGTGTAATTTTCAATCACTCTGTCATGTTTATCATGTGGTCAGTTTCCAACGCTGATTTCTTATTAGGAACTTTTCAGTTAGTCATTCTTGATATTTTTGACTTTCATCTGATATTGGTGCAAAATTTAGCTACCTCTTTTGAAATGCAGAATAAGTAACCATCACTCTTCAAATTTTTGGGCAAAATCAACAGTAATGTTCTGTCTTTTGTGCCATATCTTGCTTTTAGTTTTCCTTTAAATTTTTCTCCTTTTATTTACAGTGGTCTTCCCCCAAGACTTACTAGAAAGAGGCATTTCAGGCAGCAACTTTGCCATGCTTGGATTGGGTGATATTGTGCTTCCTGGTATATTTATTGCACTGCTCCTTAGATTCGACAAAAGGTAAGGTCCTTTATTCAACTTTTTGTTTTTAACTTTAATCTTTATTTAAGTAGGCATTCGTTTTTTCACCTTGTTCATTCTACTGCAGCTGAAGGCTGCTCATTAAATATGTAAAGCCATAGGGAAAAGGGGTTTAAGCCTGTGTTACGTGTGTTGTGGTAGGGAAGTTGAGCGTCCAAGGCTGCATCATGTAATGCTAGAATGAGCGCGTGGCATTAAATTTTTGAAAATCAAAAATGAAAAATCATCGCTATGTCATAAGTTTTATTAAAAAGTTCACCACAAAGCACTAATCTGAGGTGAGGGGTTGAACTGAGTGTTCTGTAATTTTCCCAGGATGGTGCAAACCTGTGTTATGGGTGCGTTATGAAAGAAAGGGGGAAGGTAAAAAAAGTCCAATTTTCAGGGTCATGTATTATGAAGTTAATCTAAATTATGGTTGCCTTTTCTACCTCATTCCCTATCATTGTCTCCACATACTTGCTAACAGGCTCTAACTTTTCTGTGTGCCATCAGAATAGTGTTTAAGAATTAGCACTTAACAATAATATTCCTCCTTGGAACCTTTATGAATTTAGATGACTTTGTTTATCAAGGTTATGTTTTCTTAAATCAGTCTTCGGGTAAACTCGATTGCTGATGACCACAAGTAAAATTCCTGCAGATGTAGTTCATATTACACGGGTGCTAAATGTGCCTGATCTTGCAATCCAGGAATCATGTTAAGCAGGAGGTAAATCTTGGAATGTAAGACTGATCTTGAGGTGTGAGACAAATTTACAGCCTTTTAAAAGAAGCTCTGAAAATGGGAGGATTCTTAACTGCAGAAGTTAGAAAAATCTTAGTTTTTGTCATGATGCAGAAGATAGTCTCATCTTTAAGGTGAAAACACTTAATTTCGAGAAATGATCTCTTAAGGATATTTTCCACCTTTGGCAGACTATGCAAATTGTGCGCTAGTAAGTAGATTTCAGTTGTCTCTCATGTGCTCAGCGTAATTTATGTGCAACTGTATCTGCAAGAAGTCCACTGAGATTGCTGTATCTCTAATGTGCAACAAACCTATTTCATATAGAGTACAAATGATAATCTCTTTAAATTAGTGTTGTTGTTCAATGCTATTTTGTCCGTCTTATCCCACAAGCCATCCTTAATTTTATTTTTCTATTTTTTGCTCTTCACAGTCTGAACAGAAAATCTCATTTTTACTTCAACGCCACCATGTTGGCATACTTCGTGGGACTTCTTGTTACCGTAGGTGTAATGCACACGTTCAACCACGCTCAGCCAGCATTGCTGTATTTAGTTCCTGCCTGTCTTGGAACTCCACTATTCTTAGCATTAATCAGAGGAGATTTCTCTGCACTCATAGCGTAAGTATTCATTTCTTTATTAAAATGAATTTTATTTTTTAAATGAATTATGTCTATCAAGTAATCTCTTCATGAATTCTGAAGAACAGTCATTTGGAAGCAAAGATGAGAATGATAACCTACTAGAATAAAACACTCGAAATTTCTGAAACTAAATGAAAATCAATTTGAAATGTCTCAGCATAATAGAACTTATCAGTAGAAAAAAGAAATAAAATATAAAGTTATCTTACCGTACTTGTATCTTAAACTACCAAATCATTGCGATGCCTCGATGAAACAGTTGCATGAACAGAAACATGAACAGTTGCATTGAAACAGAAGCATGCTGCGGACAACGGTGATTTCCCTGACATGTAACCCCACCATCTCAGGAACAACTTTTCAGTTTGTTTGATGTTATCACAGAAATTTTTGAGTAGATAAATGAAGCATCTTTTCTACCTCCACAATCTCATTTTTTTGTGCGTACAGAAATGCAGATTTCACAGCGCTCAGAAACACTTCCACGTTCTATTTTCCGCAAGATTTTTGGATCGCTCGCTTTTCCCAACATCTCATTAAATTCCCTTCCACTGTCGCACCCTTCTTCTCTCAAGAGGAACCTAATGAAGCATATTTTTTGGCAGTAGCTCTCCTCACATGATAATCTTAGATCAGCTGCTTTATGTCATTTTTTAACTTGCTTTAAAGGGCAGATAAGAATTAAGAAATCTATCAAGGACTTCTTCAATTTCTTTGAACCGGAAATAGACAAATTTAACTTGAATCGGCCTATCTGCATTCCGCCTTGTTTAATTTGCTCTTGTGTTTTATCTTTTTAAACAGAGAACTAAACTATTCAATGATTTTACTTTTCTGCAAATGTATTCTAGATTACGAAGAATACTCTCACAAAATGTGTAGTTTCAGAGTTGCTTGGTTTTCTGTTTACAAAATGAAACATAAGAAGAATTAAGGCAACGTCTGATGCTGTTTGGCTGACTCCGGTTTAGATCATCCAAATTAACAAGCATTTTGCAAATAGTGTCAGTTCAGGATGCAATGAACCTATGTAAGATGTGTATCTTTTAATAAAAAATCCCAAAAAATTAATCAATTTTCTTTCAAATTTTTTTGCAGATACTCAGATTATCCTACAGAAGAAAAGGAAGCTAGTGAGAAAGAAGTTACTACGAAAAGCAGCGAAACAAAATCGTCAAAACAAACTAAAAATACTGATGGTTCCAAGAGCAAAACAAATTAGTGTTAAATGTGGACAAAGCTACCACAGGATAATGGTGTGCTCTACTCTGCTTACACAATATATACTATAAAAAATAGCACATTTCTGAATGACGCACACCTTATGTTTCCAATACCCTCATGAACAAAACTACCTGCATCGAAAGTTCATTTTTGCCTAGTATTTTTTCTATACTTTTCTTGCATTCACCCTTCCTTTCCTAGAATAAATCTTCCGTAGTATGTTCGTATCTTTCTCCATCGTTGAAGATGACAGTCGTTATTTTGTGGTTGACCAACCTTTTTTCCCGCCTCGCCAATTCTGTAATGTACGTATTCTCTCTTGATTTATTCGGCTTTTATGTTCCTCTTCCTTTTTCTTCATCTCTGACGTTAGAAGTCAAAATTATTGTGCTTAAGGGCTTCCAAATTTTTTCGTTTCCAATATTTAGTTTTGTTCTTTATGAAAAATTTCTCACCTCAATTCATAAACAACTTAATTTCAGGTATGTTATTGTGAAAATTTCTTGAATTATTGTTTTAATTGTTTTGTACTCTTTGCTGTTCGCTCGTTCTGAGTATTGAGACTCTATCATCGACTAAGTATCATCTAATTTTGTTTTGATTAGCGTCAAAGCCTCTGTGATTGATACAACTACACTTAATAGGATTCTGTATAGATTTTCTGCAAGAATCCTTTTGAAGATAAGTTCTATGTAAACTAATTTCTAGAGTTCTGCTAGTCTGAACAGGTCTAAACAGGTTGGGAACAAGAAATGTCAAGGAGGGCAGTCTTGTATTTTATTGTTCATTTATTAGTTCTACTCTCTTTCAAGAAAAATTCAGTTTCATATTCTGCCTTGCCCTTACATGTCCTATTACGTATGTCAAGAGACTTGTCAGTTACAAGTTTTTTTAGTTTTTATTTCAGTCGACACTCCAATTTTTTTTTCTTTTTTTTTGTATTTTTAAGAAGATTTTTGTTCACCCCTTTTTTCTGCCGTGAATTATTATGGTTTGATTTATCAAAACAACGTCAAGATTTAATGCAGGATTTTCAGTCAAGTACTTAATATTTGAATAGTGATATGTATTAGGTAAATTGATATGACATGGACTGTTTTCATTAGTTTAGTCAAGGAGTCTTTGCAAAGAAGTTGCAAATTTGCATATTGGTGATGAGACTTGAAAAGTTTGCATCTCAATTGGAGTCTTTCAAAATTTTGGCTCTTATTTTACTTTTGCATTGGAGTATTACCTGTTTGTAATAATTATAATATTCTCATAGACAAATAAGAGTTAAAAAAAAAAAAAAAAAGTAACTCAAAAGTTTCTTATCATCAGATTCAGATCCAGCTCTGTTATGAAAATGTATGGAAAGCTCTCAAACAGAAAATTCTCCACTGTTTACAGACATAGGCACAAGCACTATAGGATATTGTAAATTAAAAAGATTTGACTTAAATCAGTCAAACTACGCTCAATTATTGCCTAATTTTCTCCAGTGTTTCAGTTGTCAAGCAGAAAACAAAACAATCTGAAACTTGAAATTTTGTGAGCATGTTCTTCATAATCCAGGGTAAATTCATAGAAATTTTTAAAGATGTTAAGCACTTTAGTTCTCAGTTCAAGGGTTATAGCGCAAGAGAAAATTAGGTAACATGAAATTCAGGAAGGCTGATTTTGTTCAATGATCATCTATTGAATTAAATAAATACTTTTTTGTGGGTACCTAATCGAAAATTTGTCAACTGAAACTTTAAGTTTACAAATTAAGAGATGAAAGTTCAATAGAAAGATGTATGTTGTCCAAAACTAACTAAAAAATTGTTTTATACATGATTCAATGTAACCAATGAAAAAATATTGATCCCAGCAATAAATTGGGGCTAGTCTTTTTACACAAATTCCCATGAAATGTGCAAGTCATGATGTGAATTTTACGCTGGTTTTTCTTGTTGATTTCTTTTCTCCTCTTAATTTGTTGATAATCCTGCTATATTTTTTTATCTTCAGACGTTGTAATCATGGTAACTTTAAAACGCGAATCATTGGTAGATTTAGACTATAATTTATACCAACAACTAGATGAATTTTAATTTTGAATTATTTTATTTTTATACAGTTTGTCTTTTATAAAAACTTCACTTTATATTTTTCATTACGGTCTTTTTTCTGATTTTGTAGGGATGCTTTTACTTTATAATCTCTTTTGTTACGCACTTGAGGCGCTGAATGCAAGAGGGGCATTTCTCGGTTTCGGTGTTTCAGAATGTCCGTTGCGAATTCATGTCTTAGAGAAGAATGTAATGGGGGATTTTCTCAGACTTTTCTCTTAAGAAAACTGCAGAATCCGGAACAATATTTGGTAAAATTTCTGTAAAATGTATGCATTCACTCTCCTTACAATGAACAAAATATTAGAGAAGATTTTAAAACACTGCCAGTAAGAAAAGCCCATCTTGCATTAAGTGCTTCAACCACTGCGATTGCCTTTGATGAGGCCCAAATCTACGCAACATTTTTGGAGAAGTCATTAAATTGAGAATTGGTGGCTTTCAGAATGTTTCTGGCATTTAGATAAATTGTAATCAGTCATAAAATAATTTTTTACGATCCCCATTGAAAATTTCTTCGGCAGGCCAAAAATATAGAGTGGCTACTGTAATAAATTGAATTATCTAGAGCCTAAGATGTAGTTAAGTGTAAACTAGAATCTTTTTTCTTTTTCCGTTTTTTATAACTCAATTTTTCTACATAATTGCACCTAAGTTTATCCCTTCCTTCCAAGGTTATTTGCAAGAATTATTACTAGGAACTCCATTCAGGAGCTATTTGCTAATCCTAAATTTCTATATGTTATTAAGCTGAATTGGACGGATTCAACCAAAATGAGCTTAGTTGTATAAGACGTTTCCTAAGCACCCCTCATGCTTAATTTTTTCAATAGAAAACCAATCAACATTCTGACATGAGAATTTGTGAGTATATTCCTTACATTCCTGGGAAAATACATGGGAAGTTTTCAGGCATTATGTTGCTTGGTTCTTAGTAAAAAAATTAAAACTTGAGTGGAAATTAGGAAACATGAAATGCAGTTAGGTTGATTCTGCTTAAATCCGTACAGTTGGTAGTCATAAAACTATTTTAGTAATTTTTTTGTTTTCGCTTTCAACTGAGCTCTCCTTGATGAAATCCAAATGTAATTTTAAAAGAGACAGCAATAAAAAATCACTGAAAATATCTACAAGATCATTTGACAGGAAAATAGTGATTTTGCCATCGTTTGCTAAAATTTAATACAATAATACAAATCCAATGATAGAGGTAGAAAGTCATCTGAGCGCAGTTTTTCCTGATTGAGAAATGATGTTTTGTGCAACATAAGTTACGATCAATCAGTTTTATATTTAATTTTAGTGTTTGATGGTAGAATCTCCATTTTATTTTTGTTGACCATTCTATTGCATCAAATCGTAGTTATTCATAGTTGAAACTACTTGAGTTCAGACGAAACCACACCTAAACGAGGCAAAGTCTGTGCATAAGAATGGTTAAGCACCCGAGACACTTGTTTCCATAACCTTCAATTCTTCCATTTAGACCTAAATTTTGGAAGTTTAAATTACTCTTTGTACTTGTTTGGAACCCTCTTTTATTTTGACTTTCTACATATGTGAAAAACAGCCTTTGAAAAGCGATAAAGCTGGTTTTGTTTTGCTTTGAAAAAATCAGCACAAACGGAAATTTTGAATTGCTGCAATTTAGTCATGCACTCTCTAAGTTTAGCCATTGGTAACTTTCATGAATCCAGTTCATCGATGGCAAAGTGTGAAGGGCAAAAAACTAGTTCAAAGTATTATATTTGAAGGGGAAAATCATGGAAGCTTGCACATTGAAGTTGCAACTCAGAATATGATAATTTACTACTTGTTGCAAGATTTGGCGATTTGTGTATGAACGGTGAAATGACAGGAACGCATTTCTTGTTTGCAGTGTTCCAACCTCTCCACTCCCATTTTATTTTACCAAAGCAAACAGACCAATGCTATTGCTTGAAATTTTCATGTGTTATTCTTCACTCAAAGAAGAAAAATCAGAGACATTTTTAAAAAATGATGTTGAATATTTTTCCATTTAGAAAATGAGGTTTGATAGGAAATTTGCTACATTGCAAATGAAGACATGCGTTCTTGCAGTTTCATCATTGATATGGTGTCTGCTTCTATCAGAATCTCTAGATTGATTTCTTATTGCTGTCTCCTTTAAGAGCCTGTATCTGTTAAAGTTTATATCTTGTGAAACTTTAGTGCAATTTTAGTGGTATGTATTATTTCATCCTTTTTTATGACTCCTACCCTACCCCAATTATTTTGACTAGGTAATCACAAAGAGAAGGACTATTCATGACTCATGGGGAAAAAATTTTCCTTTTGTTTTTCAACAGATGTAAATATTATTTACCTACCTACCTATGTTGAACATTTTATTGATTGTTGCAGATCTCAAACAATCATTTCTAATAAATTTGTGTTGATTGTAGCCCATTTTTTTCTTTTTTGGACCCTTTAATAGTATCACCCAAATAGAAGGAGGAATATCGGGTGATAGTTTAACTGATATTTCGCTTTTATGCATGTCATTTTCTCAAACATATGTGATGAGCTCTGAAATCCTTCCCCACTCTTTCTCTAAATTTTCATCCTGACAGCATAGAGCTCATTTTGATCGGGTGTTTATCGAAAAGTCACCAACGTTTGAAGAATTGACAGTGCAAGATCTCAGTGGCTAAAGACGGACGGAGGTTTCCACCAAGTTGTAACATTTATTGTTGTGCATTATTTGGTTGATAGAAAAATTAATTTGAACTCAATTTCATAGAATAAATTTGAAAATTCATTCTAACTAAACTGTGTTACATCAAAATGCTGGGTTTTTAATGAGCTTTTAGCGTCAGTAATGGAGAGGAGCGGTGGTAAAAGTATTGTCCCAATTTATTATTTTTACACTCTCGAGAATGCGCCTCAGAAATTATTTCCACATGCATTTAGCCGAAATGCAGAAAAATGGGACAGAATGATATGAAGGGCTTGAAAGACAAGGTGCGTACGTGCAGTTTTTGAACAAATATATATACCTATTCATGATTTCAATTAAAACTAGTCTGAAAATATATTCTGTGAAAAATTCACGACTAACATCTAATTTTTATGCGTAAAAAATTGAAATTCGACTTTTTCTCTGCCGTACGAATTCATGTAATTTTAAAACTTAAAAGACGTATTTCTTGAAAAATCAAAAACTGCACTTGTGCGTTTTGTCCTCCAAGCCCCTCGGCCCTCATATGTATTAGGCATGGTTGTGAAATGTAGACTTGTGTGATGTCAAATAGAAAATCACAATATTGGCAATATCATTCTCTACACTATAGACATTACTTTGTTGTGGTCAATGAGCCGGTTCACGGTTTTGAATAAGGACTCTGCACTCTGTATTTTTGGCTTGTCACATACTAGAAGTATTCATCATTTCTCTCAACTTTTGAAAAATGCACCCAAATTACACCCGTGTAACATTTTTCTTGTATACTTTTTTTTTCTTCTACACCGTTTGACCATGTAGCAGATAAAGATGTTCTAAAATGGGTTTACGGTAGAGGCAGAGCAAGTTCTTCTACATTACTTCTGCAATAGATGAAAGGCTACTGGTGAATCTTCTAATGCAGAAGAAAATTAGAGCCGAAATAGAAGATCGCTGTCTCAAGGTCATCCGGAGGAATCCGGGGCTTCTCAGCGATATCGTAGAAGATAAAAACGGTGTTGTCAGAAGAAAAGTAGCAGCTAAATCTTCTTCTACAATACATTGGAGTAATGGGCAAAAATAGAAGAAAAAATATCAGATAAACTCGGTCTACACCCGGGTTTTTACTTCTAAATTTCGGTATACAGTGGCAAAAATAGAAGAAAAATGTTACACGGGAGAATTTTTTGATCGTCTATTGGGGAGTTTTACATCATAAAGGACACGGGAGACCTCTGTACAACAGTTTTCAAAAGAGTCATTGTTGTAAGATTTTTTTAAAATTTTATATTTTTTGAAAAATTTCCTTTTTGTCCATTCTAGAATTTTAAGTTTGAATTAACTAAGTAAAGCTAACTGACTTGTGTGATATAACGTAAAATGAAAATTTTTGCATGAAAGTAATCTTTTCGTCTCAAGTATAACTGGTTCATGTCAATTTTGAGAGTTTGGACTGCAAAGGAAAAAATTCTTTTGGGCCGAAACCAGTGATCGAGTCCGATGTTTTAAATTTTCGCGCCATTTACGTGGCGCACAAATTGGGCCAATCGTGCAGCTTCTGAAAAACAGAGGTGCTGCTACCTGTGGCCAATCGTCGCACTGCATTGCACGTTGTCAAATAATTTTGTAGGTTAGAAATCACTTCGGCTGCCATTTCAACAATTTTAGGCCGCGTGTGACTTCGCGAAAACCTAATTCACCATGCCGAAGAGAGGTAAGCAAGTGTTTTTATTCATATTAACTCCCTTTGCACAAGCTCCATATCATCGTTTTTACTTATTCAACCATTATTTCACTTTTCTCGCTGCTTTCCTTACAATAGTTACCACCCTCTCCAGCCACGCTATTGTACCCGTACGGGTACGCGGCTGAGCGTCGCGTACTTTTTTCCCAAGGCATCTACAAGACTTCAGATTTTCTAGCACGAATTCAGACATTTCTTTCAATACATCATACTGAAATTGACTAGTTGCAATATAGTTCCCAATTGATCGTGTCACCATCGCAGGTGCTCATGCTCATTTGAGGTTACTTACTTTCAGTCTTAACGAGTCCTTGAATATGGTGGAGGATTCTGAATCAATTGAAAGGCATTCAGTCATTCCAATATTGGATTCCAGACTTTCTGAGTTTGTTCAAAAGTTCTACATCCATTATCTTGCATCAATCCCTAATTTTTCAATCTGCGCAATGAGTCTCCAAAACCCGATGGTCAGAGGCTTCCAAAATTAACCCGAAGAAGTACATACTGTTAATCTCAACTAGATACAATTTTGAAAATTGCTGCATTTCTCCTGTGACGCTCTCTAGACAGCTTTAGAAAAATAGCTATTTTATGTGCAGTATAGCTTTCAACGCAAGGTCTGGAAAGTAGCGACTAGAGTTAATGCCAAATTAGTATCCTTTTGAAAGTGATGAAGATGGTTCTCTTCATGTGAGTACTGCAGTTTTCTGCCCATATTATGCCGTTGGGTTCACGCAGCATATTTCTATTTCCTCTACCTCTTCATGCTGAAATGATCTAAGAATAAGTGTGTCATTGATGTCAGCTAGACGTAGCGTCTAATATGTCAGCAGTCATTCACTCTCAGACTGCAAGTGACAAGGCTGCTGTCATTCACTTTTGGTGGTGCTGTCGCCCTGCACAGATATATCCATTGGTTTACTGCATGTGTCAGTCGAAAGTGAACTACTATCGACCTATCTGACTTGGTTTAAATTGTCTGAAGACTTGCGATGGTACCCAGATCTGGATGCCCAACGATATCCTTAGGCTGTCCAAATTGTTGAGATGTATGTATCAACCTGAAGAACTGAACGATACCTATGTTTAAACTTAACTGTGACAAGGCAGCTTTTTAATGGCCTTTGCTGAATGTTGGTTTGTTTCATTCATACTCTCGAGCGCGGGTAGCCGGAGACTTAGACACTTAGTAATTTCAATGCACCTCTTTTGAAAGCCTACAGCTCTAATATGAGGGCTTGATTAAAGTAAACTGACTGGTAGGAGCACTCATTAGAACTTTAAGGAGAACCTCATTCTCCATTAGTATTCATCTCAATCAAGCACAACTCATTAAAGTGTCTTCTTGTTGTTTGGATCATTTATTCATTATTCACATCTATCTCTTTTCAGGGCGTGTGGGAGCCGCTGGTAATAAATTCAAAGTGTCCTATGGTCTCCCCGTAGGCGCTGTCATCAACTGTGCTGACAACACAGGTTTGTGCTCTTGTATTTTCTTCTTTTAAAAATGGGTAATTTTTATGTTTTTACAAAACTGCTGGAACAATCATGATATTCAGGTGAAAAACAGGCAATTTTTTGTTTTTACAAAATTCCTGGAAGATTTATGTATTTGCCGGATACTGAGATGAAAATTATACATAATTCTTATGCTTTTACCCAATTGCTGGAGACATGGTGTATTTTTTGAACCTGCCTAAAATTTGCAAAAAAATGTTTATTGAATAGTCCAGTCAATTTAGCTCCANTAACATTTTTCCGTAGGATCGATATTTTTCAAGATATAAGCTAAAAACCGGTCGCCGGCGGCGTATTTTGGCCCCCCGCCCCCCTTTTTTCAAGATGGCGGCCTTAGCGGACGGCCGATTTTGGTAAACTTTTGATATGTTGTTCTGGTAGCCTAATGCAACATGTTTCCGCAAAAAAACCTTCTATATATAGATTTTCCCAGAAAAATGCTAGATTGACTGGACTAGAAACAAAACTAAAATAGAGTTTTGGATTAAGCCGAGGAGTTGGATTTGGATCATTAATAGCAAATAAAAATGTTTTTGTTCCACTAAGAGTACCTTATTAATGCACCAAATCCAAAACCTTGGCTAAATCCTTAAATCTATCATGGTGTTGCTCCAAAATCTACTTAATTCATCAACATATCACTGTTCAGAGCGGTACGGAGCGTGCAACTGCTTAAACTACAAACTAGTCATGCAGTTTCGCGCACAATTTGCATTCACAATGCATGTTCAAATTATATCTGATTTTAGAACTTCAAGAAAGGAGAAGACTACAAAATTTAATAACATTGAAATCACATGTGAGAAACAGTTTAAGACAGTTTGCTAACTTAGAGCAGATTTTCTCACATCTTTCTCTGGGCATCCCTGACCCAGGGCTTTTGGTGGTCTGAAAAACCTGGAAAGTCTTGGAATCCACAGTAATCTGGAAATGTTTGGAAATTCTTAATAAAAGTCGGGGAATTATGCAAATAGAGTGTAGCAGAAGTCAGTGTAGTTAAAAGTCCAATTGGAAGTTTGTCCAAAGGGTAAGGAAAGTCGGTGAACTCTAAAATTTTGGAGTCGGGGAAAAGTTAAAAATTCAGGAAAGTAGAAAATGAAGACAAATTGGAAACCATGCGATCACCAAAGACTCAGAGTCAAGTCCCTTTCGATGCACCAATTTTGAAAATGGGCAGTACGAACTATGGAAATCGTATGTTAACCCATTGACTTATGATTTAATTTGACCCTGCCGGGCCAGGAATTACAATTTAATTTGGCGAAAATCAGCAACTTTGAACACTTCAAAATAATCCAGAAATTATTTCTCAAAGGGTGAAAAGTGACAAAATAAGCATTCACAATACAAAGTTTGAGAAAAATGGTGAAAACTTTGAACACAATGATTTTTTATGTGGTTTATAGCTGTCAAAATCCCGAAATCAGCGAAAATCAGAAAATTTTGAGGTTATTTTATGTGCAAACGCACAGTAATATGAAAATACCGTAACAAAACAAGAAATTACCGTACACAATAAGCTTATAATTACCGCCACACTACTCATATAAACATTGATGAGAACGCAATCTACCGGAGAATTGCTGAAATAACGCAAACAATCAGCGGACGGCTCTGAGCCGTCATTTCAGAGCTGGCCCAGCGCTGCGATGACGGCTGGGAGCCATCATTTTAAGTCAATGGGTTAAAGAGTAAATCTTGCACATTTCTGATGTGCTAAAGGTAAATTCCATAAATTTTTGCCTGTGAATAGTCTTTTTAGAACTGAGGAAAGTAAAAATAAGACAGAAGTCACATCCAAAAATAGCACCATTCAACCGAAATTTATATGCTAACCAATGGGTCATTTGATGTTTGATGTATTCAGGTTGATGTGACTTTTGTCTTATCTTTTTATCCCCTAGTTCTAGCTGGCTATATCTCTCATTTGCAACAGAATCATCCTGTGTAATGATTTATTGTCAAGGAACCCTACAGATTCTATTTCCTTTGCATTTTGAGTATTGAAGGAATAATTTTTTGTTTTGCAGGAGGTAAGAACTTGTATGTCATCGCCGTCAAGGGATACCATGGTCGATTGAACCGATTGCCTGTTGGCTCTGTCGGAGACATGATCATCGCCACAGTGAAGAAGGGAAAGCCTGAGCTGCGTAAAAAGAGTAAGTTTACGGTTCTGTTTTCTCACTACTTTTTCTCTACTTCGATTTAGTTGACTTGATGTCTACATTCTCCCAGCATGTTCATACAGCAGCTAAGCGGAATGAAGCTGTTCCCTTATTTTTTTAGGGTCGCCTTTTGCGAGAAAGACTGCAAAAACTCAGGGAATAAGATGGTACAACCTTGGTGGGATGTTAAAGGTAGGGTTGCCTCGATCAGGGAAAACCCAAAATGTCAGGGAAAATGACGTAAAAGTCGGAGAAGAATTGTTAAGTTACCTTGTTTCGTTTTCTAGAATGGGTTTGACAATAGGTACCAACTACAGATTTTATGTGGAAACTATTTTAAATTACATCTCTCAAATCACTGAAATATCCACAATTGAGGAGTTCTTTGGAACAAGGGCATAAAAGACTTGCAATGCTGCTCAGTTACTGCAACTTAGTAAATCGTTTCCAGTTGAACAGTTTGAAAGCCTTGCTAGGATTTATTTCTGAAAAAATCTTAGAATTTGGTTTAGTATTCAGTGAAAACATTAGCATGTATGTGTAACTTAGTTCGCTGCATATTGAATGCAAAGTCCCACAATCTTAGCGGCATTGCAAGTCTTATATGCCCTTGTTCCAAAGAACTCCTCAATTTTCAGGAAATTTACCATAATGTGTCTGAGAAATATCCTGGAATTTAATTTTTGAAATTTTGTGGCAACCCCGTACGAGAAAAAAACCCAGGGTTGCCACTTGGTTTTTTTTTAAAAAATTAATTAATTAAAAATGAGAATTGAGTATGTGCTTATTATTATTATTTTTCCTTCCTCAGTCATGCCCGCAGTTATCATCAGGCAAAGGAAACCTTTCAGAAGGAAGGATGGTGTTTTCATCTACTTTGAAGACAATGCTGGAGTTATCGTAAACAACAAAGGAGAAATGAAAGGTTAGTCAATTCAAACTTTTTCATGATCATAATGTACCTCATAAATTTTTGTGAAGTTGTCTCAAACTTCAACTGAAGAGGCAGGGGTGCAGAGGCTTCCAAGCAATGCTAGCGGCGTGGTCAAGAATGTGGCAAAATGAGAGAAAGTCTGTGTGAATGGGGTTCATAGAGGAAGAGTGTTAGATTTTCTTGATCCATTATACCTGAAAAGACCAGTGTGCGATATCCCAAGTTTTTCTTTTCCTTTCTCAAAATCTTTGCAAGAGAACTTGTTATTAATCTTAGGGTGTCAATAGATCTGGAAACTGGGAATTTTCAGGGACTTTCATTAGGTATAAAAATTTTATGATAAAAACTGAACTACTGTGAAAATCTTGAAACTGAGAATGTGAAAATAACAATCGCTGTCCGTAAAATCCAAGTGCGTCCCAGTTTGGTTTGCAGTTCAATGCCCTAAATCACACTCTGAATCAAGACCAATCTACACAGGTCAGTCATCCTTAAGGACGAGTTTTGGAACTCACTGGGCAGTGACAAAGTATTGAGTGCCTGCAATGTACTTCTTATGGGAGCAGCCAATGTGACCTAGCATTGAGCGCGGCCAAGTTAAGCCCGGGCGGGGTAGTAGATTTTCAAAAGATACGCACTGACTGACCTGTGTAGATTGGTCTTGTTTGGATTAGTGAATCGAGGCATTGCAATTTTATTCAAAGCAAGGTTCATGTGTTTCTGTCATTTACTGTGAAAGTATCGCAAGAAATGTTTCCCTTTAAGTTCTTCGCGTACAGTATGTCCCTGTGAAAAGTCAAAGAATTTTACTTATTTTAGCCCGAAAAAACCTGGAATAGTTAGATAATTTTTTTCTTGCCAAGTCTGTAGATGCCCTGAATTTGGGTCTTCGAAGGGGTAAGGTTTGGAACTATCCATACCTTTGCAAAGTGGATGACCTAACAGCGTTGTAACAAAGTGAACAGTGTTGGCAAAGCAAAAAGTGGGGTTATCATTTGTGCAACAATTTCCCACATCTCCACCAGATGAGAATAAAAAATATTACTGTGTCCTAAATTGAATCAGTGAGAATGTAAATACACCAACTTGGAAAAATGAAAATGTCATAGAGGCACAAAAAACTGTACGAAAGGTGAAGGAGACACAACACAAAAAAGCTTTTCTTCGAGACACTTTAAAAGGCTTGTCCTTGGAACTTGTCTTTTGTACCCAAAAGCTTTATCATTCAGTAACTTCTTCATCTACTGTTCAGTTTTTGGTGTCCTGAACATTTTCATTTTCAGAGTTGGTTTGTTTTCATTCTTACTGATTAAAAAAATCCATCTAATGATTTTGATTGATGTACGTATTGGAAAAACTGACTGATGATTGAAGAGATTTAAATATTTAAAGGAAAATGCTTGCCCATAAAGATCTCTGTTGCCACTGTTAACTACAAACAAGAAAAACCTGTGCTACAAATCCTTGAAAATATTTCCCTTGGATTAAAACTTCTGAGCTACATTCAAAGTCCCCTAATTTGTGCAAAAGTATCACTTATAGTTTGACCTGCCCCAATTAATGATTATTTCGTTTTTGTGTTTTCCAGGTAGTGCTATTACAGGCCCAGTTGCAAAGGAATGCGCAGATTTATGGCCCAGGATAGCCAGTAATGCCAGCAGCATTGCATAAATTTCCAGCAAATAATTGGACGTAATCCAATTTTTCCTTTTTAACTTCATAACTTCATGTTTTCATTAATTGTGTTTTGTTACGTGACAAATATATTTTTCACCTCTCTCTTGGTTTTCAAACAGCTTCATTTCCCATATCACTATCCTGGAGGAGGTTCAGTAATTTTATAGAGGTGTCCTAAGATGAGTCACTTGTTACCAGTACCGTGTTTGTTTATTTTCGATTTGCAGGCGCGTTCAATGAATTTACACCTCTGCACAAAGCATCATTCACTACTATCCATCTTGAACACAATCGTCTTATGATTGTTTCCTAAAAAAATTACTTATCAGTAATGATCCACAACTTTTATGTGGTTGTGATTTCTGTGAGGCCAAAAATTTAAGTTTTGCAAGGTTTGAAAGTATTAAAAAATCCATCCAAGCTTCTGTTCTCGCTTCTGTAAGAGGCGGATGTTTTCATGTGGATAGTAGTGATGCAAAAATGCCTGCAAATTGAAATAAAACTAATGTTGACTCATCTGACAACACCTCTACTTACTCTCGAAACAAAAATTTTAACTTCGAACTACTAAAATCATAGTTCATGTGTCCATGATAAGTGAATTTTGAAATATTTTCAAGACGATGAAAACACTTGTCTATTGATTGACTGGTAATAGAATTACAACAGTGAACTGTCACGTTTAGAAATTAACAAAAAATCTGATGCTGAATAGATTGCTTCGAAAGACATCCTGTTCTATAAAGAAATCACAATATTTCCTCCAAGAAAACTAATAATTTTTGACGTACATTCATGATACAGGGAAAATAGTGCTATACTTGATAATAACCTCAGTTCCGTGAAAGAAAAATGTGAAAATGTGTCCGTGTGAAATTGGCGAAAAATTACTCATAAGGCTTGGAAATTCCTTCAAAAATGGCTTAAAAAATCCTTATTCTCTAATCTTGAAGCTGCACAAATCATGAAAGTTTTAAATCTGTTGATATTAATTTTTTGTCAAATTACACAATGAAACACTAATCAATGTGGGCATTGCAGTGCTTTTATGTGTGTTTCCTCATCATATTTTCTCAAGGAAGTATGGAACCCATCTAACACCATCAGTCAACACTAAATGGTGAGCAGCGAACGTAGGAAAAAGGGACTTAGAGTGGAAAAAACAAAACTTGAGAAGAGTAGACAACTGATTAGAGAAGTCAATTGCACACCATCTGTCGCAAAGAACACCCAAAATTTAGTATTCAAAAGCTTTTCAGAGATTAAGGTGGAAAAATTGCATTATTGAGAGAAGCGCAGGAGGAATTTGAATCAAAAACTGTTACCAGCTTCTGACCTCATTAATTTAATTTCCTAAGACTTTCTTAATCATGCAAATTTTGACCAATTATTCTGATGAGTATGAGAAATTGATTTTAAAAGAAATTGAATTTTTGACCTTAATCACGTCTTTTTGTTTTTATTGAAAATTTTCCCTTGTATTTCAAGTCCCTTATTCCCATACCCGGCCACATTTTGTTCATAAATGAGAAATCACCATTGATAATTTATGTTAAAACTAGTCTTTTTACTTAAAGAAAACACAAATAAACGTAGGTTAAAACCACCATCGAAAATAATTTGGTATATCCGATTAATTAACAATTTTCTCGTTCACGAAATTCTACCTCTCCTCTACAGAACTTGTATTCTAGCAAGGAAAATTTTGAAACCTAAGAAAATTCTTCATTTATGAAGTATACTATAATTAGTGTAGGTAGTGCCATATTTAACTCGAGCAGACTGTGGTTTCTTCGTGAGCACAAGTTTGAGTTGGGAACCATCAACTGCAGCCACATGAGGTGCTTATGAAAACGAGAGCGCCCACAATTTTTCGTATATGCAACACGGACATCCCAAGATCACGAATAGTTGCATCCAGACCTAGCCATTGAAAAAGCCGGAGCGCCTTCAATTTTTTCCGCTTGTGATAACAAAACGTGTCACTCATTGCATTGATCACACGTCGTCGTTGCACAGAGTGAGAGGTTTGAGTATATGATCAAATTGAAGAAAAAAAATTAGTAGTTAAATAATAAATGAAATGAAAAGGAGAGACCCATGTGACAATGTCTTTCGCCTAACTTTATCGGCAATCGCACACTTGATGACTCAACCATCTTCTGAATCTTCTCGTTTCAATATACTTGGAAATACGTAAAAACCGTCTCCAACTAAATATTCAACATAAGTCGTCTTTTTTTATGCCATCGGTCGCCATCAGTCGCCGTCACTGCGCAATCATTCGTGTTTTTTAGTACGATTGAATCGGTCGCGCATTCTCATAAAGACTTAAGCGCCAAATATGAAAATACAAGAAAAACAATAGAAACTACAATACCTGAACAACCCGTTTTAAACCGCAGATTAATTAAGAATGCCGTAAATTAATTCATTACTTTAATATTTTAGAGCTCTGAGATTTAGAACGGGTCAATTAAGAAGATGATTACCGTTTTTCTCGTAGATTCATTTTTGGCGCTAAGGTCTTTTTGAGCATAATCAATTTGCGGGCCCTCCGTCGGGAAAACAATCGGAATAGGTAGGTACCTAATCTATCGTGATCATAGCTGTTTGTGGGGTGACAAGTTTACTAGGATTTAAAAATTCTCTAACTCTTTAAATATTTTGAACCTGAAAATCCCCGACTTTTCCTCGCTTGTCGGCGTTCCTTCTGAATGGATTTAAAAATAAATTATAATCATAAATAACTCTGAGCGCATAGCGTGGGAATGCCATCGGGGAGATCGACATCCGCAATGCTTGTGTGGAAATGTTTTCGATGTTTTGTTAGAGTTGCGGAAATGTGCATCATTTGGCAACACTTAGATTTTACTCTTACAATTTGATTTACAAGCCGATCAAATCGTCAACTTCCGGCCGAAGTATCTCAAGCACCATGCGACGTTTCAAAATTTCCGCCATCATTTTATTTTTTACAGAGAAGCTGTTGGTTGAATCTGTTTAAAAATTTCACTGAATTTTATTGGCAGCACAAAAAAAAAAAAAATCAGTGAAATTTACGGACCGCTTCGTTGAACAATTTCTCTGTAAAAAAATAAAATGGCGGCGGAAATTTTTAAACGTCGCATGTCGCTTGTGGCCTTTTGGCCGTAAGGTGAAAAAATTAGTCCGAGGCTCCTAAAAACATGGGCCCCGTGCGAGTTGTATATGGGGCCGGTACATAGAAGCTTTAGAGATACAAATACAGCCTTACCAAGAATAAATTAGACATCTAATGTGGGAAAAAATTAAAAAGTATTTAAATTGAGGATCAACACAGCAGGAGATAGGAGAGGCATAATAGGACCTCGTTTTTGAACTTTTCATCCGAATCCAAGCAACAGCTCATTGGCAACATAGAGCGGAGCCTAGCGAGTTCACGTCTCGCGCCTTCAATTTTGCAGATGCAACACGGACATCCATCAAGTACGAATAGTCGTATCTCTGCGCCGTCAACAACGCGCGTCCTTTCCTTTGCATTATTTCCAGCTATTGTTCCGTTTGTCCTAATTGTAGTGGTGCTTTAAGGGCTACATGAGCAAGACTTCCGGAGAAAGGAGAGATGTAAACGGAGATGTAATGCGTAAGCAATGGGGTCGGCCGAAAAAAAAAAAAAAATTAAGAAACGATTGAGAAAGCCGTTGAGGAAATATTGATTTCTTAGCCGCCTTTTTCTTATTATATTAAGAAACGGCAACATATCCAACACATTCTTCAGGATGTGTTTTAAGCTCATAATAAAAACCAGACCAATAATTTGGATTTCCTGAGGTTCCGAAATTCAATTACCGACTTGAGCTGAAATCGCGTTTTCGAGCTATTAAGCAGGTCCTTTAAGGTATATGAATGCGTCAAAAGTCTGAAATTTTTTCTAAATGCACAAATTTTAGTATAATTTCACTTGTTTTGCACAGTATTCCTTTTTTTTTTGACAAACCCTCTCCTGTCCCCTAACTTTGCCTTATTCGCGCCCGTAACGAGTCGCATTCATTGTGAATCGCGTTTTTCGTCGATGGAAGTTAAAGGCAAAAAACAAACGAGTGCCACTGACTACGGATCTAGAAGTCTCTGGTGTGGCTAAGTATGAGAACTTTATCAAGTAAGAAAGTCTCCATAAGCCAAGCAACTTGCATTAATTGGCACCCCTACTTTTATGCCCTGCGTTAAGGTTTCTGAAGTGATTCTTACATTATTATGCCGTGTCGGCGATCCCTCATGGCTCAGCATGATCAAATTTTTAAATATTTATGTATCCATGCGTCAAACAACTCCTGTTGGTCGGTACGCCTACTTTCCTGCTCTGTGATGAAGTCTCTGCCCGTGATTCCTTCATTGTGATTCAGCTCTGAAAAACTGGGTTTAAAGTAAATCTGTGATTATACTGAATTCAACGGTTTAATTCTCCGCTACGTCTCTCCTTTCTTTGGATGCGTTGCTCTCGTAGCCCTTAAAGCATCACTACAAATCAGACGAACGAAACTAACACAACATGGAAATAGAGCAAAAGAAATAGGACGCGCGTTGTTGACGGCGCAGAGATACGACTATTCGTACTTGATGGATGTCCGTGTTGCATCTGCATAATTGAAGGCGCCATGGCGCGAGACGTGAAGTCGCTATGCTCCGCTCTACGTTGCCAATGAGCTGTTGCTTGGATTCGAGAGAAACGTTTAAAAACGAGGCCCGATTACGTCTCTCATATCTGCGCCGGTGTTGATACTCGATTTATTTATGCATTTTTATTTTCAATTTTTCAGTTTGATTTCTAATACTTTGTTGAGGCTGTTTTTTCCCATTTCCCATTCAAAAATTTTTCAGGACCTTGTAATGTTCATAAAATTGAATTCTCAAATATTTTAATCAATTTCGGATTCTAAAAAAGTGGTCCAACGGAGCTAAATTTTGAGAAAAAGCTGTGTTGAATTACAGTAATTTCAGTAGCCGTGGTTCAAACATTCCGTTCATGAAAAATTACAAAACTGGATTGACAACGAATTAGGGAGGATGAAAATGAAAATAGTCAGTTTGGGATCATTTCAGAAATTTAGATTTTTTTCATCTG